CTAAAACATTCTGAGATCGAGCCAGAGAGAAAATCAGTTTTGATATTTAATAAACCAATGGAAAGATGATATCCGGATGTCTGACAATAGGGAAATTATTGAGAACTATCAAAAGGCGGCAAAGGTAGCAAGTATTCGAAAGGCGCACCACAATCTTTTTCGGACGTACGTAAGATTATGCCAGATGTAAGGTTGTCGCCACGATACATAATGTACGCGTCAGCAAAGTAATTTAGATATGAATATTCCAGGTTGCAGTGTTTTTTTACAAGATTTAAAGAAGAGTATCAGAGACCACTACCTTCAATCTTGTCTATAAAACATGACGGCAGCTTTTCGAGTCTAACGTGGTACGCTATCAAAGATCTATCTTATTGACTTCCTCACACTGATATTTGATTCATTCCCCTGCACGATGTGACTCTGGCTTATGAGATGGCAACTGATCGCAAAGATACGCCGTTGCCTCAGACAACTAGTTCTGGGTCTCCGCGCCCCCAACCGTCAGCAAAGGAGTCACGATCTCTGACGGTATCTGAAGGAAGCAGCTCTAGGCAACACTCGGCGACTCGGGTCAACCGGACTTTCCGAGACAGGAACTAACTGTGTGACCGCAACTTGCTCCCCAGCAGCCACCGATTTCCCATCAGCACCCCAGACAGTCCGTTTGGTGAATTAGTCGAGTTTTGTTGACGACGATGAGAGTTGACTGCATGGCCGACAACAATCAGGACTTATACAATCTGAGCTTCCAATTGAAGAAGCAGAGATTGTATACGAAGAATAAACTTTAGTGATACTATAGTATTGGATGCAGGTAGACCTGAGGAAGTTATTCTGTATCTATGTTGGCAAGACATTAATAGTTTAAGTTAGATTCTGAACTGCAAATTAGCTGGATCGAGAAAACTCTAGAGAGCATGAAGTTCGTCAGGGTTGCAGGTAAGTTGCCAACTACATACCGACCGGACCGAAAGGACAGTCAGGAGCCTATTGATACGAGTAGTTTGGCAAGTTTGTCTAGAATTTAAAAGCGTTTTATCAGATCAAGCGGTTCGAAATACAACAGCGGAGCTTTGAGCCATCTTCTCATATTAGTATAACAAGTTGGAAAAGGCGAAAGCTACTCTGACGCAGCTAAGACGTGGAAAGAGTAAAGCAAGATTATCATCCCACTATATTTTGACGGACCGTCAACCGGAGATAGTATCAATCGTAATCTCTTAGGATCAAGAAACGCCAGTATCTTACTACATATTGAATCTAGATACGCAGTTACCGTGTGTTCAAAACTATGGACACACCCGAGGAAAATTTAAACATGTGTGTGCTATTGGATACAGACTATCTTCTGGTCGATCCTTTATGAGAGAGATCAAGAGACAGAATATGCAGATTTGCATCAATCTTATTCAGACAAGGTTCGTGAGATTTCAAACGAAGTACATTTCTATGGTATCATGAAATTCTCCTATAGAAGGGCATAGCAAAGGAGATAAAAGAGATAAAAGGTGGATGTCAATCAAAAGCATATCAACCTGCTGATGTCCACAAAAATACCATCAACTTCCGAAGTGCTCCCTCTAACAAAGCTATTCAGCAACCACCACCACCCAAGCCTAAATATAAAGAGGTCAAGAACTACAGTGAGGCATATCGCAATGACGAATGACCCAACTCGTGAATCTAATGGTAGGTGGAACGGTAGACACAGTGAGGAATGTACGCATTTGTTGAGAAGTGTAATGGTTCTGCTGGCACTGGAGGTTTCCGCAAATAGCAGTGTAAGATTCAACCTCAGGTTTAAGTCAAGTAAAAGAAATACCGGGTCTTATCACTAAGATAGAAGAATGCGCCTCAAGACGAGAGTGTCATCCTTGATATACGAGTATTGGGCATGAAATAAAGCGCGGTTGGATCCGGGCACGCTAATTTTATGTATAGCATCACATTTCTGTAAGATAATGCATGTTACTCGCAAATCAGAACCTACTGTGCTGAAATTAGCTGATGAACGTGGGATAACCTTGACTTTGGCCGCGTTGTTCTTGGTATAAATCATGATGTTCTATATTCAACGGGCAATGGACAGGAGATACGCTTTAATTCACCTCAGATGTAACAGAAATCACATCTGCAGTACAACGATGTTTTACGTCCAAATCTCGTTTGTGACGGGTTGCGACATGTAAAATTTTGGAATGCGTATCTCGTGAATGTAACGCATGTATTGAGAGCTGTGACCTATTTTTGTGCCACTATTTACGTGAAAGGTGATACGACACGGGATGTTCATTATTATATATTGTGACCTTTTTCATGGACTTATTCAGACAGTGACGAACATTTGTCAATTTGAGCCCATGATACTGGTTTACTGAGCATGCTTCCGCCTGTTTGCCAGCACAGATATCTGACGTAGAATCTGATTGAAAAGAGACAGCATGTTATTTGGGTATCTTGTATTCTATTGTATGCTGATTCAGAGCAAACTATTGGTCCGAGTGAAGCGTATCGATACCTGAAGAATCGTTTCGTTCAATCCAACATTTTACACACATATTTATCGAGACCGGGCATCGCAGCCGATCTTGCCTTTACATAACAAATGATACTTTAGTGATTGTCTCGCAACACTCTTTGATTTAATGAGCACTTCGAGCACAGTACACATCGAAGTAGTATAAACCAACGTACTAAGGGCATACCAGAAAAAGTTGACGTCATGAAACCTCACCTCCAAGTAGACTAGTGACAATCCGACAGTCAATTTTGAAGGATCGTGCTATTCCTACAACAGAAACAGTCAATTTATATTATGAGCACAGTGCTCAAACAGACTTTTGAGGTCGCCACGGCGAACACTGCAGCAATTGCGCAAATTTGACTTCGACGTACCAGGGAAGCAGGCCATTCAAGAGGTGGAGGTAATAGTTCATGTCCCAGAGTACTTAAATTTTTCGTGCACGCACAAGACATGTAGATGTGCCTTTATGATTTTTTTTTTACAACAAGATAGATTTCAAATCTTGTGAAAAATGGAACGATATCGTAAATCTCAATTCGAAATTGAGGGACCCAATTTCCAAGCTGAAAATGATCCGAAAACGCAAGTGGTTCTCGAAATCAAATTGCTGCAGGATATACTAAAGATCCAATACGTCATGAAGTCGGTCGACTTCGCCGTCCTTGAATCCCATGCTCATTATTAGCTAACAAGTGTTCAAGAGGATATCAATATGCTGAAACAACAGACATGAAAATATATAGATGATGGCGACGAAGGCAACGGTCGCCATCTGTACAGCCAGCAGTTAGTGTCCATAGGGAAATACAAGAAGTGCTGATGAAAGCGGGTGGCTCATACGAATCTGAGAAGTAATTCCAATTTTCCATGATAAAATAAATAAATACACAGGAGCACAGTGAAATTCTGGTTTTGACAGGCGGGCACCACACCAATCGATCGGGCAACACAATATGGGTGAGGTATGAATTAATTTAACGCAAAATGCAGACCGGCTGGTCCCACAGTTGTACTGAAGGAAGACTCTCGGTTGCATTTTTGACGGTTTCTATTGGTCGTAGGCAACTCCTGATTGTCAGCTTTCAAGTGTAGCAGTGATCTTCACTCTCGAGAAAGAAGAGTCAGCTCGCCAATGAAATTCGAATTTGACATCTCCAAATTGGCAAGTAGAACGCAGCCTTCCAATACATATATGGATATACCAGTAGCGGCCAATTAAGTGGATTAAAACCCTCCTTACGTTGAATTCTCATTCAAATTGGGAAATAAAATAATCGTGAGGGGTCAAGTTTGCACAATCCAGTTTGCACAGGCGTAGAGAAACTCTTCCGGCGATGGCTTCCGTTCAATCTGCACCTCCCGATCTTGGTATTTGCAATGGCCAAATAGTGTTCGACCGTAAATCCATAGCTATGATCACACCTTTACCACTACAATCACTCCTTCGAGCTCGCGACAACTGCAAGAAACCAGAACTATAAGGCTTGCCAAACGAAATACTGTATCGGATATACATTTTAAAGGGCCAATATGCTATGAAAAAATTAACTTGTTCCCTTTCGACTTCACTACAGCTAAGAAAATTACAATAGCAACTGCCGCTAAGGCCGGTACTCCTTCGATTGTTCTCGCATCCGTATGTGAGAAATATTTAGCAGTCTGGTTTGATATTTCAACTAGACTTCACCGTATAGTGAGATATAAATAATATCATACAGCCGGAATATTCTCTGTACCATACAAAGCATGTTTATAACGCATCCACCCACGCGATTTCGCTTCTCTGACCATGTTGGCGCTTATGCTTATACTAAATTGGTGGTCATACACACCAAAAAGTGGCAGTGAGTGAGGTGAAATTCATGCACTTCGGCAACGGTAAATTCGTACGTTATGCTTACTTCCCACCACACCAGATTTTCAGCAGCTCAGCACATGATCGGTGAGGACAAATGGTAGCCAATCCTTTGTTGTCAAGAAAGTTCACAAAAACTGTTTCTCGTCGACTAGTTTAAAAATCGACGCTTTTCACTGAGGTACTACCGTACTAGGGTGAAAGACGTTTTTCTCCATGACCTGACAGGTTTTCTATCATCCATATTGCTATAGCAGTCCAAGCGAGTAGAAAAACGGGATTTTACTCAATATCACAAACAGTACACTATATACGAAGTTCCAGCGCCCGAATGAGTTCAGGTTCATACCTGGAATCGTTCTGCATTCGATTTATCACCAATCGGCTAATTGTTTCCTCTTGTCGATTGCGATGGTGTCGATGTTGAAGAGCTCAATAAACTGCTGATCTAAGATACGGACCTTTTATGTAAAAAATGTGATGGTCATTCCTACTTCACATACAACGTACGGTGGTAAGCAATGACACGAACAAAAACACAAAGATTCGCTCAATGCTAATTGTACAACGACCGTTCGCTTATAACCCAAAGTGGTGAACACCAGGAGGATTCCATTGTCTGATGCACCTTGTCTCCAATCAAAGTAGAAATAAGATTCCGTGCTTTCACAAATTATTCGATCAACAATTACGCCACGAGGCCTGGTAGATTTATCAAAAGCCGATGATAGCGTACCTTGGTACCAGAGAAGCGTTGATATTCATCGAACGAGAAAATCATGGACCACTTCTGCGCCTTTCGCAGACAACCGATCATACAGCCAACTCTATGTTTTCCCTTATTGCAGTGGATCAAGACTGGGTGATTGCGACGATCTGTGTTTGACAGAACATTGTGCCCATAATCAATATGGCAGTGCAAAATTCCTTGACTGGTCAATATGCGAAACCGACGTTACGCTTCATTTTCAACACGACGTATACTCTACCGCATCGACATTCATGATGGAAAGAAGGATCTGCCACCAGTGGTCTGGTTGCTTCTCGCATATCGTCTGCGACAATAAGGACCGCAGCTTTTGAATGTATGACTACTCACCTAAGAGTGTGTCCAGCACCTCCGACGCTACATTTTCAGGAATCCGAGTGAATGGCTCCTGCCAAATCAGTGAAAGATAGTATGTACTTGTTAGAGATAGGCGAAAGACACATTTACGTACGGAGCGACTCTCGTGAAATTTAGCGCACCAATATCAACAACAAGAGCGTGAACCACACTGACAGTTGTCTACCTTTTGGCCAACGATGGGCATGTGGACGAATCGGATGCCTTCCGCCTCGTAAAAATCTACATTTAGGTTTTCGATGTCTGAAAGACATCTGTGGTACGATTAAACTCACAAAAGAAGATGACGAGTTTCGAAAGACAAACATTCGTGCTCACGGCTGTTCACAACGACGACTTTAGTTTCAGACGAAGAAAATGGATTCAAACTATGATACAGCAACTGACGAGCAATCCAGAATGGGGTTGTGGGACTGGACGGGAGAAAAGGTCACTCATCGCACATACACTACTGTGCGCAGGCCTAGCTTCCGCAGAAATGAGTAATTCTTGGTACCCGGATGTCCCGAGCGATACACTCCGGAAGCAACCATGGAGAAATTTAGAGGTGGAACCAACAAATTGCGTGCAACCAGGGACTAGAAATTAATAACCAAGGAAGGAGATAGGGTTTTTTTCTTTGAATATTTCAGTACTAGCAAGAATCCATAATTGTAACCATCGATGAAATGTCTTATACCTACAGTACTGTATTCTGTTATATACATGCACAAGTGAAGAACAGATATACCAGGGTTTGTAGTATATATTTGCAGACAAACCGTCAGCGCGAGTAGAAAAATTGTACAATACATTGGACACAGCTGCTGATTGCAGAACCGTTTGAAGCTTAATACAATAATGATTATTGTATTAAATTAGAGGCGCGCCTACTATATTCTCATTACCTAAAATATACATTTCATGGGGTGTGGCCCATATCTCGACAGCATGCTAAATACATTTGTCGCGATACCTCAAATAATTGTCAAGCCAAACAATAACTACCCCTAAAAAAGGAAAAATAAGCGATGCGCACTACGATCTACTACAGAGCACGCTCAGCGACATCCAAATGTATATCTAGACGCACAATTATCAATCGTATACTATAAATGGGTACGATACTAATAAACACATACATCTATACATAGGATGCACACACGCACTAACAACACACACACACACACATATATGCATGCATATATTTATAGATGTATGTATACAAAGATGTATATATAAAAATATACAATCTCAATCTCAACTCAATCTCAATCTATATATATATATATATACATAAATATACATATACATATCTAAACATATACATAACATATATATAAATAATAAAGATAAATACATAAATACATAATATATATATATATATATTTATACACATACATACACACACACACACACATATATATATATAAAGAAAGAAAGGAAGAGAGAAAGAACATGTGTATATAATGTGTACGTTGATAAGTATGCATTTCTATATATATATATATATATATATTTATACATACATACATACATACATACATACATATATATATATATATATATATATTGATATATATATATACAGATGTGTATGTTGATCATTAAACAAGTATAAATATAAATATAAATATATATATATATATATGTACATACATATATATATATACATATACATATATATATATATATACATATAATATACACGTATACATGTATATATACACGCAAACACACACACACACACATATATATATATATTATCTATATATAATGTATACATATACATATACATATATATATCATCATTGATTATACATGCCAAACTATCTGTTTTCAGATTGAGACAGCATTGTATATATATTTTTGGAGCTCAAAATTTACGTGTCTAGGATGAGTGAGGTTCACGTCAAGCATAGAGATTGCTATAAAGAGAGTGATTCCATAGGGACACTCGTACTGTTCGCACCAGATTCATCTTTTGCGGATAAGTATCTGTATAAAGTATAGTTTATTTCCACTACACCTCGACAGAACCCCAGACGCATAGTGGCGCAGCTGACAGGAAATATACAAGTACTTATCCTTCGACACATGGAGGAAGGCCCAAAAAGGCCACTTGTATACATGCTATATCATGTCAGACTAAGATATATGCAGAATATGAGATATACAAATATCCGTATACGAGGTTCACGGATATAACACGAAGCACACCAAGAAGTATCATTTACAATTCCAAGTTGCGTCGAGCTTCAGAATGTTATGAACAAACACAAGCCAACGCAATAGACACAAGGTTGAATCTAAAAAACAAGATGGGTGAAACAGCGAGTAACGATACAACACTGCTCCCTACATACCGGCGCTTTGACCACTGTCAAGTATTTGTTTTGCTCGGCAATGTCGGTAGCAGAAGCTATCGCTGTTGTACTCACAGCCAAATGAACCGCAACTACTTATGAGGCGGGACCCGACATGGCACAGCTTTTCGAATGAATTGAAAATATGAATCTGCTGTATGGTTTCACCCGGGACACAGTCTGCGATTCCTACACAGATTCGCGTGTAAATATATATATATATATACTTACATATATATATAGTTATATATGCATATATATATATATACATACATAAAAATAATAAATATACACACAAAATAATATGTATATATATGTATAATATATATATATATATATATATGTATATGTATATGTATATGTATATATAAATATAAATATAAATATATATATATATATGAGTGTATATGTATTCATACACTAATACATATGTTCAAACATACAAACATACATACATAAAAACAAGATATATATATATACATAAATACATACATACATGTATATATATATATATAAATATAATATGAACAAACATATATTAATATATATATATATATGTATACATATATATAATAATAATAATAATAATAATAATAATAATATATATACATATATATACTACATATATATATATACATATATATGCAAACGTATATATAAATTTAAATATATAAATATATAAATATATAAATATATATATATAAACACACACACACAAACATATATGTATATTGATATATATATATATAATATAATATATATATAGATATATAGATATATATATATATATATATATATATATATAAATATACATATATATATATTTCGTATATATATACATACAAATACATATACAA